TACCCTGGATGACTTGGGGTACAATGGTGTGTTTTCAGATGGGGAGTTGTGTATTTTCAGAGGTTCTGAGTTGGTACTTAAGGGTATCAAAAGGAACACCCTCTATGTTTTTGAGGGTGTTACACTGCCTAGTTCTGCGGTTTGCGCATCTGTATCTCACCAGGAGATGACTAAGATTTGGCACATGAGGCTTGGTCATATGGGGGAGAAGGGGATGCAGCTATTGTCCAAGAGGGGTCTTCTATCCGGGGTCAAGGTTGCCAACCTTGAATTTTGTGAGCATTGTGTGTTTGGTAAGAAACACAGGTCAAAGTTCAGCAAGGGTGCTCACATTACTGATGCAGTGCTCGATTACATCCATTCAGATTGCTGGGGTCCATCTAGAGTTGAAGGTATGGGAGGTTACCACTATTTTGTGTCATTTGTTGATGACAAGTCCCGATACACATGGCTTAGGTTGCTTAAGTCAAAGGATGAGGCCTTCAAAGTTTTCAAGCAATGGAAAGCTTTGGTGGAAAATCGACAAGGAAGGAAGATCAAGAAGCTACGAACGGACAATGGGCTAGAGTTTTGCAAAGACGAGTTTAATCAGTTCTGTGCAGATGAGGGTATAGGTCGGCATCATACTGTCAGGAAGACACCACAGCAGAACGGTGTAGCAGAACGGGTTAATCAGACACTGCTAGAGAGAGTTCGATGCATGCTCTCTAATGCAGGGCTTGGGAGGAGGTACTGGAGTGAAGCTGTGTTAACAGCTTGTTATGTCATTAATAGGGGTCCTCATTCTGGAATTGATTCCAAAATTCCGTTTGAGATCTGGAGTGGTAAGTTGCCTAATTTTTCGAATTTGAAGTTTTTTGGTTGTGTTGCTTATTATCATGTTATTGAGGGTAAGCTGGATCCACGAGCCAAGAAGGGGTGTTTTGTTGGGTACGGGGATGGTGTGAAGGGGTTTAGAATTTTTTCACCTTCGGAGGGTCGGGTCATTCTTAGTAGGGATGTTACTTTCGATGAAAACACCATGTATTCAATTAAAAATGCAGAGATTTCAGATTTGAGAAGGGAAGGAGACAATTTATTACAGACAGATGGGGTACTTGAGGTACATCAGTCTACCATTGCTGATTTACCTCGGGTACAATATATTGATGATGATGCTGATGTTCCAGTGCCGGGTACTCCTGAACCTGAGATTACTCCTACTCATTCTAACTCTGGGGATGAGGTGGAGCAATCTAATCAGGGGTCATCTAGTCAACCTGACACCATTCTTGAGATGCCTAAACGAGTTATCAAGAAGCCTGTTAGATTGATTGAAGAGATGGAGGGAAGAAATTGCTGTGTTGATGCGATGACAGGTTATGCATTGAGTGTAGCTGATGATGTAGAGTCATTTGAACCTGCCACATATAAACAAGCAATTAGTTGTAGTGAGTCTGCGCAATGGCTTGCCGCAATGGGTGAAGAGATGCAGTCTCTTTACAAGAACAGAGTGTGGGAACTGGTAAAGGTACCGGAAGGGAGGAAGCTTGTGGGTTGTAAATGGATTTACAAGAAGAAAGAAGGGTTGTCGGAAACTGAGCAAATACGTTTTAAGGCTAGGCTAGTTGCTAAGGGGTTCAGTCAGGTAGAAGGGGTTGATTTTGTTGAGATATTCTCACCTGTGGTTCGACATACTTCTATCCGTGTGTTATTGTCAATTGTAGCACATTTTGATCTTGAGCTGGAGCAGTTGGATGTTAAAACGGCTTTCCTTCATGGCGATTTGGAGGAGGAGATTCTGATGAAGCAGCCCGAAGGATTCGAAGTTCCTGGAAAGGAACACTATGCCTGCAGATTGCTAAAGTCATTGTATGGACTTAAGCAATCCCCCGACAGTGGTACAAAAGGTTTGATTCTTTTATGGTTTCACAAGGTTTTGACAGGAATTCATATGATTGCTGTGTGTATCATAGTAAGCTGGATAATGGTTCCATGATTTATCTTTTGTTATATGTTGATGACATGTTGGTTGCCACAAAGAATAAATCTGATATTGCTAGATTAAAGGAGATGCTTAACTCGGAGTTTGACATGAAAGACTTGGGTGCAGCTAGGAAGATTTTGGGTATGGAGATCTACAGGGATCGGGCTAGAGGTAAGCTTTTCTTGACTCAGAAAAGCTACATTGAAAAGATTTTGCCTCGTTTTGGGATGGAAAAATCGAAGCCTATAAGTACGCCAACTACTGTTAGTTGTAAGTTGTCTTTGTCTATGTCACCTCAATCAGAGGAGGAGTTGTCTTATATGTCTAGAGTTCCATATGCAAACGCGGTTGGTTGTTTGATGTATGCTATGGTCTGTACTAGGCCGGATATTGCGCATGCTGTTAGTGTTGTAAGCAGGTTTATGGCTCGACCTGGGAGGGAACACTGGCAAGGGGTGAAAAGGATTTTTCGCTACCTGAGAGGGACAACTGATATTGGTCTTGTGTACGGGAATGGTAGGGAATGCTTGGTCACTGGGTACAGTGATTCTGATTATGCAGCTGATGTGGATACCAGGAGGTCTGTGACTGGTTATGTGTTCACTTTGGGTGGTTCTGTGGTTAGTTGGAAGTCTACATTGCAGTCATCAGTTACGTTGTCAACTACTGAAGCTGAGTATATGGCTTTAACTTCTGCAGCTAAGGAGTCTATTTGGCTCAAAGGCCTAGTAGGTGAACTGGGTATTGCACAGGATTGTGCTACAGTGTATTGTGATAGTCTAAGTGCGATTTGCTTAGCTAAAGATCAAGTACACCATGATCGGACGAAGCACATTGATGTCAGGTATCATTTCTTGCGTACTGACAAGAGGATTAAGGTGAAGAAGATTGGGACTGCTGACAACCCGGCTGATTTCTTCACTAAGCCTGTTCCGTTTAGCAAGTTTAAACATTGCTTAGACTTGCTAAATATTTATTACTACGTGATGTAGTAGGCCCTGAGGGGCGAAGTTGGGGAGCTCCTGGTGTAGGTGTGTTGGCCTTAAGGTGGAGCTTGCCCGGGGCTTGTGATGCAGGTGGAGCATTATGAGTTGTTATACTTGGAGACGAGTATGTGATGGGTCTTGGTTGAAGACTTATCGGGATGTATGGCTTATGCATGAGTCTTGCATCGGGTTTGGCTTGAGATGTTTTTCCACTATGTCTTGATGGGGTCGTTTGCTGACTACGAGTTCTCGTCAAGGTGGAGATTGTTGATAAGTATTAGGTGACTCGTACTTCGTAGCTTTGTCCGCCCGATCGGGCGGACATTGCCCGGTCTGACCGGGCGGTGGGGGTTGGATACGTTGAAGCATTCGTATGGAGTTTTCTTCTCGCGCCCGATCGGGCAGACCTTGCCCGGTCTGACCGGGCGGAGAAGGAAAAATGCGGAGACGCGGATTTTACGATTTAAAGTTATCTTTTATGTTATCTTTTTGCCCAAGTATCTTTTATTTTAGGGATTAATATAAAACCTCCCTAATATTAGTATAAGGGTTAAGGGAGAGAGTGTGAGAGCCGTTCTTGAGAAATACAAGAATCATCTTTGTAATCTTTGCAGTTTATAGTGAAATCATTCGATCTCGGTGCCCGTGGACGTAGCTATCACATCGATAGTGAACCACGTAAATTCTTGGTGTTGTTCTTATTGTTTGCATTGAATTTCTTTATTGTTTTCTTGTTTGTTTTCGACCTTTGCTTCCGCTGTCGCACAACATAGTATGTATATACCTCAAATTTATGCTTATTCTCAATAAAATCTCCTAATCAAATTTTATAATTGCACAAATGGCGAAAACTACACCTACCTTCATAATTTTAACCATTGTGTTTGTGTTAGCAATTTTACTAAATATTTCAGCTCCTACAGTTGCAGTTGTTGAAGAATGTAAGAAGGCTGAAGAATTTTGCGGAGGCATCGCCGGATTTGAATGTTGCGAAGGATTAGACTGCATACTCGATGGCGACGAGTATGAATCTGATGCAGGTGGAGTATGTAAGCCACAAGCACATCATGTCGCCGGAATTTAATGCTGTAAAAGGGCTTGAATGTGTGCTCGATGGTAATTTTCCTGATGCAGGTGGAAAATGTAACAAGGGGAGTCTTTACCAATAAAAATAATATTTAACTGGCCAAATATAATTAAACTATACTACATTGGATGTGTTTCTCATGTATGATTTGATGATGTAATTTTAAGTTGCATAATCTATAATTAAAGTCTGTAATTGTTGATGTAATTTATACTCAATCAATAAATTTAATCAATCAATAGACATCTATTGATTTCAAAGTTTAATCAATGAACTATCAGCTCTTCAATTCCCTTTTGTTTATCTATTTTTAATAGGTTATTATTCCGTGCATATTTTTAATAGACATCAATGACTTTTAAAGCAAGCTTAAATCATTGATGTATATAAGATGAGCACTTTATAATCTAGATATCGTTCAGATTAATTCAATATATTTTCATCATATTAAATTGATCTTAATGTAAACTTCCATTATTATATCAACTCTTCATATATTGAGCATGCATCTTACTAAACGTGTGGTTTACTTGTAGTCTCGAGTCAGTTGAGAGCTAGTCTCCTTTTTCCACTTTGTCAAAAAAAAAAAAAAAAAAAAAAAATGTCTTCATATAAAAGTATAATTATTCATTGCATAGCTTGTTAAAGATATATATGATCACAAATACGTACACATAAACGAGAACTTCGCCCCACATTAGCCGTAAGTGCTAAGATAGGCCTTAAAAAGAAATCATTTTTTAAATTAAACTCAAAAATAAATCCCATTCCGATGATGAATGCAGCTAGGCATTAGGATCCAGTGTGCACTCCGAAAATCATAAAAATACCAAGTTGAAGAACAAATCTGCATGCTAATAAAATCGTGATGCGGAAAATATGCAAAGTCAATGAACGTAGGCCAAGATTAGATGGGTAACATTTAATTTTGATTCGATCATATTATAGAATATCATATCTTAGTCATATTTATACAGCTACTAGCTCATAGATTAATTTAAAATGACCGACAATGTAATGCCGTGACTACTTTATTATCATATTATAAATGTTAAATGTAATACATATAGTCCATAAACTGTATATATGCTTTTCTTCTCATCATAGTTCTGCCAAAATTATTGTCAACATCACAAAGTAATGTTAATGACGAGAGTTTCTTCACCCACATTCATCTTGATACCTATACTACTGGCTTTGCTCACCTTATCAGGTAAATTTATTTGCATTTGTTCTTTCTTAAGCTTCCTTAAATTTATTTCTTAGCTATTTGCACTAGTAATGATTTCCTTTCCCATTTCAAATTAGAGCTGATCAAGAGTAGTCTGACTCAAAAACACACACGAATTTAATAAGGATTTTTGGGCCTGACTTTTGGCCCAGCATCTTTTAGTCAGGCCATTCTTGAGAAAATTATTGGGCCTTTTAAGATATCCCAAAATAACTTTTGGTTTAATTTCAACCCATTCCTAGATAGCCTCAAAGCCTATTCTATTTAATCGGCCCAAAATCTAATGAAGGTTTAGCGCGAAATATTTAACTAACACAAGCCCAACTCAATGCCTGGACTCAAATTGGGCCATATTTTGTTCAAATGCATTGAATGGGATATAACCTTTAGATGGAGTTCAACTCGTTTCATGATCACCTTTACCCTTAAATATATAGAAGAAAACTCCAACAACTACCTAGTTTTTCACTAAAGTTAATAATATTAATTTTTCACAAAAGCTACTCCAACCACTAAACTCTACTCCCACCTTTACATTGCCAAACGCTCCTATTTTTTTACTAAGTAATGGCTTGAATAAATCAAATCACTAAAAACTACTCAAAAGCTATTGCTGAATACGCCTATATAAATTAAAGTACTTGTTTTTTTTTTTTTTATGATATTAAATTCCTTTTTCAAATTAAAATGAATATTCCGTATGAAATATTGGGTTTGGAATAAAAATGAACATGCTTTACGTGCATATATATTCATGGTAACTTTTTGCACACTTTTATTATCAAGAAGCATTATCTAGTAAGTTGTGAGATTAAAAATTTCATGTAATAAATTCTCTAACGTACTTATGTTAAACTTGTTCCTTTCATACGTAACGTGGCCCTAGCAGCAACAGCTGAAACAAGAACATGTAAGAAGGCTAACGAGTTTTGTGGAGGCATCGCCGGATTTCAATGTTGCGAAGGACTGCAGTGCAACCTCGAGGGTGACTTCCCGGACGCAGGTGGCAAATGCAAGCCAACGATTACAACATGTAACAAGTGTGGCCAATTTTGCGGAGGCATAGCCGCGTTTCAATGTTGTGAAGGATTAGATTGCGTACTCGATGGTGATTATCCGGATGCCGGTGGAGTTTGCAGGAAACCGAAACAAAGATCATGTCACAAGGCTGGACAATTTTGCGACGGCTTCACCGGAGTGCAATGCTGTAAAGGATTTATTTGTTTACTTGACAATGTTAATAATCCGGATGTTGGTGGTAAATGTAAGCGTGTTCACCACTAATAATAGACCAAATAAAATTAATTAATTGCATTTGTTGTAATGTGCTGCTCATGTATTACTAGTTTCACATCTTGTAACACTCTTTTTGTGATTTTTTTATGGCTTTATACATGAATTTTATAATAAGGTGATGATCATCATTAGTTGTATCTATTTCAGGCAAATATTTTAGAGATCGTTTAGACAAATGTGCTAGACACGTAGTAATAAAGATATGAATATGCAAGCTAAGTTATTAGAGAATATTCAAGATTATATCTTATCAAAATCTTGGCCACGCCTACAAGATTTAGTCAATTCGGCACTATATGTTTATTTATTTATTTATTTATTTATTTATTTATTTTATTACCCCAATTAGACTGGAAACACATGTTGTTGCATAACTTAGACTAATAATATTAGAATTTTTTTTGAAATAAACTAAAAATATATTAAATTATCTATAAGTATAAATTATAAAAGATGAGATCTAAAAACAATGAATGAAGGCATTGTAACAAGTACATGCATATGATCACATTTATCCTTATCTTTAAAGTATCAATATTTGTCAAAGTGGATAATGTGAATATTGCAAAAGGCAAAATTTATATGTTGTTTGAACAAATCTGGAGGAAATAGCTAGTGTATTAATTAATTTATATTGTTTACTCCATATAATGTAAGATCCAATCCAGTTCTAGCCTTTGATCAATAATTAATTTATTAGTTATGTTTGGTTGAAAATTTTTATATACACTTCGGTGTAAGGTAAATCAAAGTGTATTTTGCTAATTTTTTCTTTAAGCTTATTTTTAATCATAAAATAAGCAAAATGAGCAAAGATTGACTTTGGGTTCACCTAACTCTATGTGCACCCAGGTTAAAAAAAAAAAAAAAAAAAGTTCTCATGTTTGGTTCATTGAGATGGACACATTTTTTTTTTTTAAGTAATAACATTATTTACGCTCACGGAGTAATACTTTTGCAAACAAATACGAAGTATATATTAATATCCTAAGCTGTAGGCATGACAATTCTATTACTTCGTATACTTGAGTTTTGGATGCATACAAAATTAGTAAAATACAAAGATAAAAAAACCTAAAATTCGTGCAAATCAGTAATACTTAAGCAAAATCTTTTATTAAGCTAGGACAAAATATAGGAATGGTCAATCAGTAATCTTTATAAACAGCTCTTAGGCTTCTTCAGAAAAATACATTTTCTGATCATAAACTTTTTTCTACCTCCAAACTTTAAGCAAATGGAAATAAATTTCTCCAATAAAGTAGTCTTTGTAATTGCATTGTCTGTCATCCTAACATTATCGAGTAAGTTCTAATCCTAGCAACATTTTAATTAATAATCCTTTTTTTTTCAAATTTTTTGAAACAAAAAGTTTCAAATTCTTATTTTTTCTCCAATTACTTTTAGTAGCGTTGATTAAAATTTAGCAATAAGCATATACTTACATTTGACCACTTGCGGCGATTTATATGTATGACAAAATAAAAAGAAGCATGCATAATTTTGTTATATTGGTCCGTATAATTTCATAAAATCAATATTTATCAACTTGACTTTATGAAAATATACGGACCCAGAGATACGGACCAATCTATATCAATTTCATAAAATCAATATAGATTGGTCCGTATCACCTGTGACAATTACTTGTACAATATTTACTAATTTGTAATTAGAGATATGAAAATTTTAAATTATATAATGGTAAGCGTGAAATTTAGAACATTATTGTAGCTTGAATTAGAGTAAATAATGTTCAATTTTATTGTTGCTTAACTTCAGGTTCGATAAGGGCAGTAGAGGTCGACAAAACCCGAGCTTCGGTAGGGCAAAGAACATGCCGGACTGTTCAACAATCTTGCGGAGGAATGTCAGCATATCAATGCTGTGAAGGACTAGAATGCATTTTCAACGGTGACTATCCAGGTGCAACAGGAACGTGTATGCGACGAACATGTAAGACCGTTCAACAATATTGTGGTGGCACCTCAGGGTATCAATGTTGTGAAGGACTACGATGTGAACTCGACGGTGATTATCCAGGAGCAGGTGGAGTTTGTAGGCCGCGAAAACCATGTCGAAGGACTTATCAACTTTGCGGAGGCATCAATAGATTGAAATGTTGCGAAGGATTAAGATGTGTAATTGATGACGATTATCCGGAAGTTGGCGGAGTTTGTATGCCAGGAAGAAAATGTCAAAGTGATTATGAATCTTGCGGTGGTAGCACTGGACTTCAATGTTGCGAAAGGTACGCGTGTGTTTATGATGCGAGTAGCTACGCCGGTGATGGTGGTGTTTGTGTTCCAACTTACAAGCAGAGTTCTTCGTCGAAATGATGATATTATTACTTATTAGTCCATTCATGTGGATGGCTCTCTCATTTTCTTGAGCTATAATTGTGTTAATTTGAGTTGCATATGTGTATTTTTTTTGTTGAGTGTTTGATTTCTTGTATTAATTTTTATTGTATTGATTGAGTTTAATAAATAATACGGAGTTTTATAAAGAAATTTATATGTTATGTGTTTGGGTACAAAATGATTTTTATGCCACTAAACTTCAAGCCAACGTACACACTCTAATTACTACCCCACAGGTATAAAATGCCAAATGAACATCCTCTCGATGTATCCACAAATTACTTAGCATTTATTATACTTGCATAGCACTATATACTCTCATTAATATTTTCTATACGTATTGATTTTGACATCGAATGACCTTTCTTAAGTACACTCTTTGAGGCCAGCTAATTAACGTTTTATTCTGTGTAGGTATTCTCGGCCCAATTCACCAATTGGACCAAACTTGTCTTTAACCCAGTACTAAAAGTCTTAGTCTAGATCATATTGTTTTTTTCCCCAGAACACAATGTATGAATATACCATATAATTAGTTGTAACTTTTTCAATTTACCCCTTGTTTTGTTTAAAATATAAAAATAACTGATACTTTGTCTCTTTCATTGCACAATTTTTAGTTTCACCTTGCTAACGCACATAACAAGTGTGAAAATGCATTCTAACCCGTGAAACATCACGTACATAAGACTGAATTAAAGGGATCTCACAGGTGACTAAGAGTATTGAAATATAATTCATGCCTAAACAATACATGTTCCATAATGCATATTGATGAAGGAAACAGAGAATTAATCAATTAAACACACTTTATTAGTGTTGCAAGTTAAAAGAGATGGAGTAATAAACTGGCTTTTATAAAACTTTACTCGTGGACAGACAATGAAAGGATTTGAGGGTATGTAAACCAACTACAATCAACATAATATATAAATAAATAGTGCAAATTAAATCAAAATGTTGTAATTAGAAAACAAAATGAAAAACATAATGTATGCTATATATAGGACAATACATGGAAACACTTGATGAACAAATAGTAAACTCAATCAGTATGAACTAATGAGTAGATAGAGGGGTAATGGTATACATATTATAGCTTAGGATAAGCGCATACACCCGTACCAGGAGGAAGCTTCTTCTTTCTAGTTTTAATAACAGGTTCGGTAGGAAGGTTTCGAGGATGAACGCAGTTCAATCCTTGACAACATACGTACGGACCATAAAGTTGACACTCTTGAAGGTGGTGTCTACAGTTATCTTTCGACGGAGGTTGTTGATTATCTAAAGGTGTACATAGTCCGAGACCACCTGGATGTTCTGGTGTCCAACCAAGACAATATAGTCCTTCACAACAAGCGTAATCACCATAACCTCCACAAAGTTGGTTCTGTTTTCTACACGTAGGGTTAGGATGCGGTGGTGGTGGTGGTGGTGTGCTCGAGGTGTCCGGTACATACGATGCTTGTTGATTATAGGGTCCGTAGCTATTTTCCATGGCTGCAAGAAAAACATGAACATATTACCACAAATTTGTTAGTAACAATAATTAATCATGTCTCAAAGAGAATTAAGCTATGGTTTTATCATCTTATGAAGTTTAGGCACTTCACTATTTCACTTCATCTCACACTCTTCCTATATCAGATTACTTGCAATATTTTAACTTAACACGGTTGCCGGTCAATATCTTTTATATACCTCTCAGATGAATATATACATTATAATAAACCTAATATATTAGCAATTTAAACATATGGTCAAATTGGGTGTATGTGAATAGTGGTGAAAAATCGTTATGATGATGTGAGCATTAAAAGACGAAGGGAACATTCATTTTATTAAGGCTTGGTCAAAGAAGCACCATACGAGTTGGTCTTTTTATGCACATTATGAGGCATATTTAAAGATTAAAGGGATACATCAAAATGGCACCATTGTGAAATTTTCACGAGGATTAAATAATTTGGGACAATACATGATTGCAATTATTATAATATATATATTTGTATGTGTAATTTTCAATAAAAGTACACATCTCCAAGCATTTTATAATCAATGTGCTTTATAAATTTCTAAAAAAACGAGGGTAAAATGATTAAATTAGAACACCATAAAAGAAAATGAAAATATCATTTTGAGACACCCTTAATGAAAACAGAAAAAAACGTAATAAGACAGAGAACATTAGGGCAAAAAAAAAAAAAAAATAGTAAGAAAAAGTTGCAAATTAAACTAAACCTGATTCAGCCAATGCCAAAAGAGCTAGCAAGATTGACAATACAAATAAGTTGATAAAAATCCTCTCCATTGTGTCGATTAGATGTTTCAAAATTAAATTAAAGTTTGATTATATTAGCTATGTTCACCATTGCAATACTTATATAGTGCTTTCTTGTTTTAGAGAGTCTACTTATTAGGAAGAAATAATTACGAGCGAGTCGTGAGCCACTTAATTTAATTTCTATGATTACTTTCTTAATTATTGAGTTGTTGCACACGACTAGTTCACTATGATAAAATTATTAATTAAAAATTTAGATGGTTGCAGCCACGTCTTTGGATTATTATGTTTTGTGAGTTACACGTAGTCGTGCTAAATATACTGTTAGAATATATGTTTTATACTCTATCACTCCCTCTCACACAAGAGCTTGTTGGGCTTGAAGTGTAGATGTAACATGGGCCCCATCATACCCAGTGTTTAATATTCCACTTTGAAATGAAGGGTGGATGAGATTCGAACCTGTGACCTTTGTGTCACGCTGACTCTAACTAGCTACAAACTAGGCTAAGATATATACATTTATCAAACTATAATACAATATCAATAGATCATATTAACATACTTCCTCCGTTCTAATAATAATGCAACAACTAGACTTCTGTACTATTCACCATGCTTATTTGACCACAAATTATGATTTATACGCAAAGTGAAATATAGTCATGTGGGGTCTTGTTAGATTCGTCTCGTAAAATACTTTCACAATATCAACTTTTTATAATTTTTAGTCTTATATAATTATAGATATTTAACATATAAAATGTGCTTTGAGATGCGTAATTTCATCCTTGTTGCAATTTTTGTGGAACAGAGGAAGTATATTATAACATATACTACCTCTATTTTTTTTTAAATAATTAATTAAAAAAAAAAAAACAAGAAACATCTATTGTTAATCTAGTTTATATTGTCTACAAGAATTACCTTTTTGTTAAAAACGATATATTTACATAATTTTTCTGGCGATTCCGAGCTCAATTTGGGCGTTAAGGGCTAAAATGACCCCTAAAACCTTACCCAAATAATTTTCCCGGCAAAACAATGGTTGTACGCAAATTGATACATTTTTAGACACGCAAAACGAGACACTTACACTATTTTTTTGCTAATTCCGAGCTCAATTTGGTTCTTAATTAAGTTCTTAAATGACCCCCTAAAACCTTAACGGAGCATTTTTTTTGGCACGCAAATCAAGGAAAATAATTTAATGACTGACCACTAACGGAAAATGTTAAGTGGTAGCAAAATCTCTTTTTTATTTATTTTTGGTGATAGTAAAATAAAATAAAATTTTAAATAGGTAACAAAAATCAAAGTGATGCTTTTTAGCAGTAGTAAAAGTCAAATTTTCCTTCATAATATCATAGCGTTGATTTTGTTCGATCTTGGCTTTTTTTAAACTGTTCAATGCGAACTGTATTGATTGTTGATTGGTGTACGTACATCAAATTCAAATATAGTAATATATTTTATCTAATTAAACGAAATCATATAGAATTTTGTGATTGATTATATTAAGATCATCCATTGGAGAAACGGCTAGAAAGCATGGGTGTATGTATTTTAATGTCACTTACATACTTCTATATTATTTTGTATGGAAACAACTTACAAATAAGCAATGATTATTTAGCTTATGAAATATGGATATATAATGATAGCAAATTTAAAAAAACTCAAAGAACGGGCTTCCCTATGTTTTTTTCTTTAATATAGTATTAATAACACATGTACACATACATCAATAATTAGGGCCAAGCTTAAGTAGTTCAAGAGTTTTGTTGGAGTGATAACAGTGATTCACGTACTTATACGAACTTAGCAAATCATTGCAATTCGATCTAGTGGTTTACTGCTACACCATCCATCCAGTTATGATAAATGCAAGAAAGGCTATAGGAAAAAAAAAATTAAAAAAAAAAATTTGGGAAAAAAAAAATGTTTTACATGTTTCACAAATAATGTAGTAGACTATATATGCACAAAATCAACAAAATCTATGACTAAAGATAACCAAAGAAGTGAATAATGCAAATGCATGTAAAGATGTTACAAGTAAAAAAGAATGGAGAAGTATAAAGTAACGTATAATTAGTTCAAACTCATATAACAATACATATTTGAATAATTCAATTTTATTCTAAAATGATTAATTGTATTCAATTTAACTTCTACAAGTACATGATTAATCACTATGTTACACGGACTTTTTATATGATGATCTTAAGTAGTTATGCCAAAACCTTGACACTCGGACTTGACACTTTATTTTAGTTCACAATCATAGAAATTTTTCAAAAATTAGTCGAGCTGGACACTTGAACACGTACACGTGTGTGGACATGCATGTACCCGAGTCCTAGTAACTATTAATGATAATAGTTTAGTGCTATCATACAACATTGATGAGTCTAGCAAAGCAAATACATGGTTGCACGTAGACCTTTCAATTGGGTTGAGTCAAGGATCATTTCAGGTCGGATCACTTTGGGTCAGAAATGCTCAACCCTTATCCCAGTGTTTTCAAGTTCAGGCCAACCCAACAAGGGCGGTTTTATAAGAACAATTTTTATTTTGTTGTTAAATAAGGAGAAAATATGAGAGATTGAGAGAGAATAGATCAGTTTTTTTTTATTCCATAGAATGTGGATATATATACATACAATATAAATAGGGTTTGCTTAGATAACAATAAATCATAGATCTAGAATATTCCGGAATGATACAGGGAGGATAATTGATAGCCACAAATATTTCATAACACTCCCCCTTGGATGTCCATTATCGAAGAGTGTGCCTCGTTAAAACCTTATTAGGAAAAACCCTGTGGGATAAAAAAAAAACCTAATGAAGGAAAAAGAGTACAACATGCTTCGTAATACGCTCGAGATGCCGCCTCATTAAAAACCTTACCAGGAAAACCCAATGTGGGACAAAACCATGGTCAAGGGAAAAAGAGTGCAGCGCGTATTTTCTCCCCCTGATGAATACATAACTTGAGATCTTCTAGTGCCGCAACAATGAATCCAATATGATTGGATATCTTCTAATATGTAGTCAAATATCATTCTTGGTCTTCGATACTCCTAAACTGAAAGTGCATCTCCAAGTCTTCAAGTGAACATGTGAAGTGTCTTCATTTCACCATACATGTATTTATCTCTATATCATTCCAAACTCTGTTTGAATAAAGTTACTTAAAAGTTAAACTTATGCGGTTAGGCCTTCTTCTGGAGGTCGTGAATAATAGAAATCGATGATCATTATTTGATCAAACATTCATTAATAATAATTTGATGACAAAACTTGATATTATTAATGTCGTTCTTCAATCTCATCTGAATTATAATATAACACATGTAATTAGATACGCTAATCATGGTTCTTCTGGACCATAAGAAAACATTCTCATGCATAAGTATTCCATTGATAATCTTTAGACGTTTCGTAATTGACACGATAACTCTCTTGCAAATACAAAACAAATCTCACTAACTTTCATATGCTCAAACTTCAGGTTGAGATGTCAATGATGTAGTCACATAAACTTTTCAAGAGTTTGATAATAATTGTAATATTTAAGATATAAAATTTGTGGGGCTATAAATACGTTGCATATAAATTCTTCGGGAACTTCTCTTACATGATTCATAAATAATATTAGATCAACGTCATATATAATTTTATCATAATTATAAGCCCATTGGAATATAAATATGTCTTTCTAATTTTCCATCAAAGTTGTAAAGACATGCACATACACCACAAATATTGGGATAGAAACTAATGCATGCAATATGAGATATATAAAACATGATAACAAATTAGGCAAAAATATATAATAAGTAATGCATCTAACAACTACTGACATATGTAATGACCAACCTGTTAACCTATGACTTATACGTGCATATAAACATACATAGGACTCAAAATAATGCAAGACACTTTACAGTGTGGATTTAAAAATCCATATTACATTGAACTTCTAATCCATGATAAACTTTTGATCATTATCATTATGTCGACATCAAAATGGACATATATATTTCAGATCCCTTATTCACTAGTCCATTCTATCATACATATGCATATTATTTATCGGTTCCCTTGTATACCGGTATCATAATATTCCATTAACGTACATTTCGCATGCTATTTTACTATGATATCTGAATACTTTTCTTATTGGTACCATCATAACTTCCTTACATCATAGGCCATCTATTGTAATAATTCAGATATCTATACCACTTTTAGGGTATTTCATACACTATGGTATTTATATACTATTACTCTATTAGTGTTAAGTGCACTATCTTGCCATATATCATATCCATTAAAGATATTTTTATTTTGGAACCGATCATACAACCTACACTTCAGGTGTAGTGATTCAAGTATAATTGGCAAGACTTTATCTCAACGTATACACTTAATATGACCAAAAATTATCTTCAACGCTATGCAACATGAGTCATAACTAAATACAAATCAAATCATAAATGTGAAACATATATCTTGATAATATATAGACAAAAGTTGGCATATAACTTTTCAAACTACCTTTTATAGGGATCATCAATTATATTTTCCGATTTTTCCAACTTTTGCTAATTCTTCTCCCCCTAAGTTGGTAAATATCTTATTTATAGGGGCGTCTAATTCTTATACCAACTTAGTATACAAATTTGCAATAAATTCTTTTCATCGGGAGGATCACAATCAAAATAATTATCTCAGAAGATTTGTATTAAACAAGTTTTATCTCTTCTAGAGAACAAATTCAATGAAGAATCATTTCTTCATTAACTTTACACTGCATGTGTATTTATTGTTACACTTTCTATAATATGTTCTCTTCTGGAGATCAATGTCAATGGGGAGACATGTATCGTGCAGTTGTACGTTTTTCTTTCTTTTCCAACTTCTTATGTGCTGACATATAATAGCCTCAATCAAAAGAATTATTATAATAATATAAACTTGATTGTAATTCTACTAGGTGATGATCTTCTAGATCACTAGAAACCTTGATAGTATGATACTAATTAAATATTCAGAATTTTCTCATACAACTTGTATTTGGTGAGCTTCTGGTCACCATCATGTGATAACATATAAGTTATTCTGGTGAACTTCTAGTCACCTATTATTCGTATGAAAATTTATTCAAAACGAATATATTATCTCTTGAAATTTTCTTCAACACAAATCATTGAAAATCACAATCCAAATATAGTTCAATCTCAATGTTATGTCGTGCCATTCAATTCACTTCATATATCTAACATTGAGAGAGTGTCAGCACATTATCAAATGAAACTTCAGGTTTCTATAACGGATATTTATTGAACCCGAATGGCCTAATTTAATTATCACATCCAATCATTTATCTAAATTTATATTACGGTTAGTTTTCCAGGTGATCACTTTATGAGACATAATATAATGTGATATTAGAACACCAACATGTGTTTCTTTATATAATTGGCAAGACAATCAACTAATACTTGATCCAAGATTTTACACTCTGCTGGAGCTTTGACTACAATATATCCATTTTACTAAATATAATCTCTTATAAAGGTCTATAAAAAATGTATCACATCCTCAAATTTACTATTGTCAATAATTGCTCTTTTCCTGTTTGAATATTCTTATCTTTGGAATCTATTGGGCTCGGCTACGGATACCACGCTTCAGGCGTGCTTTAGGTTCATTAGCAACTAATGTTGTCCTTTTGGGACATCAATTTTAATTAGAGCATTTACAGTTGGTATATAGCTAATGACATCTATTCATATCCATCTTCAGGATGGTATCATTTTGAAATATATTAATTAACATGTGACCACTTTTATTAAATAAAACATTAATATTTAAGTTAATGTATGTATCAGACTGACCATCAATATGTTTTATTAATTATGTGCAAGGATTACATAAAATAATGAAATAAATATTATCCCCCCCTAATCCTTGCATGTGGGGGCATTAAATAAATCCAACTACCTTTAAATCTCTTGCACCTTTCAAGTCACAAATTCTTTTATCAATGCATGTATAGCAAAGTAAAATGATTCTTATAAAACTTATATTCGTTCTTCTTGCCCAATTATATGAATCTTTATACTAAAAATTCTCAAATTAATATTCTAATAGAATTAAAGGAACTAAAATAAGATTCACTAAACCAAATAACTTAAATTAATAAATGACTGATAATAATAATAATGAAATATCCGAAAAACATAAAAATATCCAAAAATATAAAATTGTCCAAAAACAAATGTCCCATAAAGCATAAAATCATAACACTAAGATAAAATACTATTAAAAAATGCAAGCTAATTAATAGAGTTTATTCGCCAATGGATCATCACAATTTATTCAATTATTTTATTCAGGATTAGGAAAGAAATCAGTTGCTTCCAGGTGAGTTTTATCACCGTAATCATAATCACCTTCGCCATCCTTGTACACCAAATTTGTTTCCACTTTCTTTCCTTTCTGTTTGATTGATTGTTGATAGAGGTCTACTAGATGTTTTGGTGCGCGACACACACGAGACCAATGGCCTTTTCCTCCACAACGGTAGCATATATTTTCATTTTTATCCTTCTCATCCTTATTTCCATCTTTATTGTCCCACTTCTGGTGAGATTATGAGTTCCTAAAATGACCACCTCAACCACGATCATGTCCACGTCCACGGCCGCGACCACGACCTCGACCACGACTGCTGGCGTGATCTCTAGCCTTTTTCTCTTTCCCACTATGGGATGTCGCATTCGCTTCAGGGAATGGAGTAGAGCCAGTTGGGCGTGATTCATGATTTTTCATTAATAGTTCATTATTTTTCTCGGCCACAAGGAGATAAGATATCAATTCAGAATATTTTGTAAAACCCTTTTCACGGTATTGTGTCTGCAGGACAACATTGTTTGCATGAAAAGTAGAGTATGTTTTTTTCTAACATTTCTGCATCCGTGATTTTCTCTCCACATAATTTCAATTGTGATGAAATTCTAAACATGGCTGAATTGTATTCACTCACAGACTTAAAGTCTTGTAATCTTAACTGTAACCAGTCATAATGAGCTTTTGGTAATATCATAGTTTTCTGGTGGTCATACCTTTCCTTTAGATTACTCCAAAGGACTTGTGGGTCTTTAACAGTCAAGTACTCGGTCTTAAGGCCTTCATGAAGGTGATGGCGAAGGAATATCATAGCTTTAGCCTTATCTTGTCTTGTTACAGTGTTATTTTCTTTAATAGTATCACCAAGTCCCTTTGCTTCTAAATGTATTTCAGCATCTAACACCCAAGACAGATAGTTGTTTCCAGTAATATCAAGAGCAACAAATTCGAGTTTTGCAAGGTTTGACATGATTCACTAATATATAAAATAATATTATAAATTAGGACCTAAGATGGTATAATAAATATATACATACTCCAAGTTTCAATTAAGATAACTAATTTCAAGTAAGTAATTATAACAAGATTTGCGTATTGAACTTTGAGAAGGTTACTGTTCATGAGACCATAATTAAGTCTACTGATCAATTATCATAACAAAACATGAACCTTAATTTACCATAATAAACACAAACCTTAAACAAAAAAACAAAAACGTTATCTTGGGACAAGTAAGTTGTGGAAATACGTATGTAATCGGATTATAAAAAGTAATGTATCAATAAGGTCTTTGCACGCAATGATTGATTCAAAGCATTTCAATGACCAGCTTGCTTATTAATTAATACACTGTAAAGATACATCCACTTCTCAAAAATTTCTATAAAAAAATTCTGTTAACCGTATTATTCTCGATAATGTATAAAAACTCCCAATAAAACATACAATATTTTCTCATTACTAATATCCCGCAAATATTAGACCGATCAATCCAAAAGAAGCAGTAACAATCAACAAAGAAAACGATCAAAAACCCCAAAATCATCAAACCAATTGAATGGATTAAACAGGATCCCGATCCCGATCACAAATTATGCAAGACGATTAACGCAAAACCAGCGGCATAGGATAAGCGAAGAAAGACGAAAGCAGAAGACGAAGCAAAATACAGAGCATTAATGATTATAACTTCTTGGATATAATAAATTCTTGGATGAGTACCATATTATAACAAAAAAAATTAATGATTAAAACTTTGTTATCAATTCTTTACAAATATTCCACCTCAGATAAACTATAATCAATCAACCACTCGTTTCTTAGCTCAAAATTTCCGGACTAAAACTAACACAGTATGCCAAGAACAACACTTTACTCTAGTTGAACAATTAAAATATCGATTTCACACATGAAACAACAACAATTAAAGAGCAACTAGCAACATTAAGTGGGTGTTAAAATCAAAAGGGCAACATCATAAATTTAAAACAAACAAATTAAACAGCACAGAGAACGGGTAATGCTAGAAATTGCTTAAAATCAAAACTTAATACTGTCGAATTTTGACCTTAGATAAACCCTTGAGCACAGAGAACGGAGCACGGAGGCCACGACCTGATTACGCGTCACGCCGTCACGGACTGCGGGACTGTTAGTCTATGAGTGAAAGTGAGTTAGGGTGTCGAAGGAGAGGAAAGTTGTTTTGGAGTTTGGGTAGCCTTGAGAAGCAGTAATGCTCTTGATCTTATGAATCAATAATATTGTTTCAGATCCAAGAGCAATGGTGCTGATAACGTGTTGTAAAATAAGGAGAAAATATGAGAGATTGAGAGAGAATAGATCAGTTTTTTTTTTTATTCCATAGAATGTGGATATATATACATACAATATAATTAGGGTTTGCTTAGATAACAATAAACCCTAGATCTAGAATATTCCGGAATGATACAGGGAGGATAATGGATATCCACAAATATTTCATAACATATTTAATTTATTTTTGGCTTTTTATTAGAAAAATCTGGTTTCTTAAGCTCTCATTGTTGTTTATTTTTCGATTTTTAAATCGAGCATTCTCACCAACATAATTAAATTGTCATCAAAGCACATCCAATTTCTAACTAATCAAAATGATAATAACATGAACAATAAAATCATGAAAAATTATAAAATTAAAGGAAGGAGCCAACATTAAATACATGGAGAATAATATCTCTTGATATAACTTCTTGATATCACTTAACTTTAAATCATATAATTTGTATTTGACACTGTTATTATTTATATCTATATAATCCCTTTAAATTGATTAAAAGGGATTAGTTATGTATGTAAATAATATCCTTATAGAGTTGATTGTTATCTCCCATGCCTAAATTAAAACATTACTTTATTCTTCACTATCTATCATTGTAATATATATGTCCTCAAAATAAAAAATATAACAAATAATGTACAAAATCGTTGTAATATACATTCATATCAATGTAATACAATTCAACCTTAACTTACAAAAATAATGTTATAGTATAAAAGATGTTGGTAATACAAGATTTAAACTAAACACCATATGAAAGTGGCCGGTGGCGAATAGATTGGTGTGGGCTATGCGGTCGATGCGTGGCGTAGGTTGCGCGGATGTAGTTGGTAGGTTGGTGTGCGTGGGTGGCGATTGGTGTGGATCTGAGAAAGAAAGGAATAACAATGGGTTGGTGGATCAGGTCAGGTTTGACGCAAATTTACGGATTAAATAGATTCATATTACATTGGGTTTCAGGTTAAAAAAAAAAATTGTTCAAACCCACAAAAAACAGGTTAGGTTTTTGGGTCGAGTCAAAATTTGAGGGGTCTAGTTGCATGTGATAACTGCAAAAGTGATGCATCTAGAGCTATCATATAGATATATTTCCTCTGTTCTAGTAATATTGCAACAACTAGAATTTTATACTATTCATCACGCTTGTTTGACCACATATTATGATTTATACGTAAAGTAAAATATAGTCATGTGGGTCCTGTTAGATTCGTCTCGTAAAATACTATTACAATATTAACTTTTTATAATTTTACTCTTATATAATTATAGATATTTAGCATATGAAATATGCTTTAGGATGATTAATTTCATTCTTGTTGGAATATTTGTGGAACAGAGGAAGTACAACATTTTGATATAGGCATATATCAATGCAAAAGCAACATACAAGAGAGTGTGCGTCCAAATAAAATAAAATAAAATAAATACTAGTAATGGCTCGCTGCTCCAGACCCCAACACCATTACACCAGGAGGAAGCTTAAGTAGTAGAGAGTGAATCACATTGTACATACAAATGGCAGTGATCTTAGATTAAAATTTAATTGGCTAGCTGCTCGCATATCCCAACACCAGGAGGAAGCTTAAGTTTTTCAGGTTTAATGCCTGCGGCCGAAGGCAGTGTTCGGGGATGAACACAGGTTAACCCCTCACAGCAGTCATAATCACCATAAGGCTGACAAAGTTGTTGCGCAATTTGACACTCTTGTGGTGGTTGCGCCGGTGGTGGTTGATTCGAAGGCGTGCACAGTCCAACTCCTACAAGAAGGTTATCGAACCTGCCTGTGCAAGCAAATCCTTTGCAACAACTGTAGGCACCGTAATTGTTACAAAGTTCAAGTGACTTCCTACAAGTAGGGTTCATTGGTGGTGGCGGTGGTGGCTCATTCGACGGGGCATACATTGATTGTTGCTCATCATATGAACCATCAACTGGAAGTAACACATGAAAAAATATTAATTCAAACATAAGTTAATTACTACCTCTGTTTCTTATTATTTGTAAACAAAAAAATCTCATAAATAATACCTCGGTTGTTTGTTGCAAAAAATAATAAAATAAAAAATAAAAATAAAAACGGATTGCAAATAATCAATTACATGAAATCAGTTAGACAAATTAAACCAACCTGATCTTGTAAGCACCAAAACTGCTGCCAAGAAAACAGCGGCCATGACAACGAAGTTGATGGTAAACCGCGCCATTTTTACTATGTTGGACAAATAGATTATTGCTAAGCTTCATGTTCACTAGCATCGCGATATATAGTATTTATAGTGCTACAAATGGATCTACAAATTCACCATGATATCTTGTTTTTCCGTTGTTATAAGATTTAATTATTCAATTATTAATCAGATAAGTTGACAAATTGATGATAATTCATCAGTTACGTACATACTTCGTATATATATGGTAGTTGTAGCCATGTCTTTTATGATTTTATTCCAAAATCCCTGAATAGTATTAAATTAAAAAGTTGAATATCAGGGATATAATTGATGATGATAACATAATGTATTTAAAAATTCTTATGATCGCATACTTTGTAATTAAATGTATGTTAAGTGCTGAAGTCGTGGCATTCCTAGCTTGTTTATAGACAATTATTTGGTGTTTCTCTCATAAAACATGGTGCAACTTTAATTTAATCAGTTTGATTATTTTATGTTTCATATTGCTCCTTCCAATTCTATTTGTCGTTAGCCGCCTCACATTCTACTTGGGTCGTCCATTAAAATTTGTATATTTTCTTATTTAGTATAGTATGTAGCTGGTCTTTTAGCCCGTTTCAATGCACATATTATTTCTAAGATTATTGTTATTAAGGTGTATTTTTTTTTTTAAGAAAATGAAACAAATGATTGAAGTCTAGGATTGGTTTATATACTCTATCATGCCTCCCCAGTCACACGAGAGCTCTTTGGGCTTGAAGCGTAGATGCTGCATGGGTCCCTCCTAACCCATCCAGCGCTTAATATTCCACTTTGAAAAGAGGTCGTGGATGAGATTCGAACCCATGACCTTTGTGTCACGTTGACTCTGATACCATGTTAGTGGATCATTTCAACCAAAAGGTTAAGCTGATGGTTGAAATCCAGAATTGGTTTATATACTCTATCAAATAATCCCAACTATTGGCGAATTACTTCTAATAATCCCAACTAAGGTAATCTAATAATCCCAACTATGGGATCAGTTTGCCTCCGGTGGTCCCAATGACCGTTAACCTGCTTGCAGGATAAATTTTATTTATTTATTTTTTAAGAGCCACGTGTCAGCACGTGATTGGTGTAATATTAAAAAAAATTTAAAATTTTTTTAAAAAAAAACAAAAAACAAAAAACAAAAACCATTCCCAGCCACCCCCTCCCCTTCCCCCACCGTGAAACCCTAGGCAAACCCCTAGCTCACTGAAAACCGGTCGGCAGGCCGGCCGTCTCCCACCTCCCTAAACCCCCCCCCCCCAAAAAAAACGGTCGTCCGTCTACTCCTACCCCTAAAACGAACTCGTCGTCCAGCCTTCTCAATCCCCTAAACTCCGGTCGCGCGTCAAGGGTTTCACTTCCTTTTGAAGCCTCACTCCTGCCGCAAGTCAGAGGCCGCTCGCCACGAAGGAATTCTGGCTAACAATTCTTTTTTCCACCTTTTCACTGTCACTCAAGTGACTTCCGATCACAAATTGCGGACTGAACATATTTGGAACCTCATTGTTGCATGTAAAAATGGAGGAGCTAGAGAGAAAATGGGAGAAATGAAATAGGGGTGTTTGGGAGATGGAAGAGGCAAGAGGAAGAAAGGTTGAGAAAGAGGGTTTGAGCGCTGGTCGTTTACGGGGGTAAGGGTGGACGGCTGGCGGGCTGGGGGTTGCCCTTGGGCTTTGCGGTGGCAGAAGGGGAGGGGTGGTGGCTGTGAGGGTTTTTGGTTTTTTTTTTTCCTTTTTCATTTTTTTCTTTTTTTTTATTTTAGACCAATCACGTGCTGACACGTGTATTGGTTACCTATTACAACAAGCTAAGTCATTGACTTGGTGTTGACCGGTTGGGATCACTGGAGGCAAACTGACCCCATAGTTGGGATTATTAGATAACAAACCTTAGTTGGAATTATTAGAAGTAAATCGTCAATAGTTGGGATTATTAAAGTGTATTTTTCCTTTTGTTTGTGCAAGTAATCTATATTTAAGTTAGTGGGAATGTGAAAGGAATAATGTTAATTACATGTAAATGATGAGTGTGACATGTGGATATGTGATTGTTTGTGTTAATATACTAAGTATAAAAGTATAGATATATGTCTCAACCATTTACCTCACTAACATTATATTTATCTATACACTCATAGTTTTCAAAAATTATCTATACACTCATAAAAGTTTATAAAATAAAATAAAAGTAAATAAATAAATAAATAAAAAGAAAAAGAAAGAAAGAAAGAAAGAAGAAAGAAGAAGACACCACTTTGCATAATTCTAATTCAAAATTTTATAAAGCAGAATTTACCTATCGGACAAACAAATAGGGACAGTGTCACAAATAGTACATATGGTACACCCTATGTTGTAGCCTTGCACATCCCAATTTATGGACCCCAAGTCAAGTTTGATAAATCTCAAAATAAGCAAAGATGATTAGACGGACGTGAATAATGGCAAATGTAAACATGTTTCAATTAAAAGAGAGTGGAGAAAGTATCAAGTAGAATAACATGTGGTTTCATCAAACCCAAATAACATATTCAATAATTATAAATTTTTATTCTAAAATGATTAATCAGGTCAACTTGCTACATGATTACTTATGATATAGCTAATGTTAGTTTAGTGCTATCATGTTACAGTGATATGACGAGTCCAGCAAAGAAAAGACATGGTTGCACGTAATTACTATGAAAGTGATTAGTGATGCGTCTTAATCATTGATCAGAATATATTTTTTTGGTTTGTCGATCAATAGACAATTGGTTTTCATTCCATAAGATAAGCTATATAAGTAAGAGCAAAGCTGAGGAATATTCAATCACTCGTCCAAAACAACATTAAACAATAGATTGAAGTGCAACGATCTCCCTACATTCGATCTCTTCATCGATCATTATTTCATACGTCGAAATGGCAAGTCTTCGTATCAACTACACTGTTATGTCAATGATGTTCTTAGCTATTCTTCTACTTAGTGTATCAGGTATGGCTCTTCTTCTCCTACAATACTTGTTTTCTTCTACTCAAATGTCATTTTTAATTCATTTATGCATGTTTGATTACTCTATAATGTAATTAATTTTTTGAATTAACGGGTGACTAATATCATTGATTTAATTTACTTCAGTTCCAACATTCATCGATGCAACTGAACCATCCGGAGAAATAGAAGAATGTCAAGGTTTTGGCAATATATGTGCTCGTAATGGTATATATGCTTGTTGTGAAGGACTAGTCTGCTCAAATTCCGATATTGTTATTGGAGTTTGTACTGTACCTCTACCTGGTCTACATATTTAATTTACTATATTATTGAAATTCATGTATCAAAGGTATACAAGCAACTCTACCTAGTATATATATGGAAGAGTTTCTTGTATGATGTACCGCTTTTTAATTTATTTCCAACTCTTTAATGTTACTCATTTATGTTTTTTTAATCGGCATTTGTAATATTATGGATTTCATTTTGTTGCTTTAATGATCAAGCTTGGCTATTATTTTATGTTTAATTTTATTATGAGAAGGTATTGGGTGCGGCAAGCCGCATCAAACAATTCGTGCGTCAAGTATATATGATATGCAGTATTTGATATATGATATGTATTATTTGATAGAGGATATGTACAACTTATTGGAGGATAAGTGTTATTTGACAGAGGATACGCACAGTTTGTTGTAGGATATATATTGTTTGTTATAGGACATGTAGTATTTGATAGAGGATATGTACAATTTATCTTTGATAGAGGATACTTACAATTTGTTAGATGATATGATGTAGTATTTGGTGGAGGATAGGCGTTAGTTGATAGAGGATACGTACAACAGTTTATTAAAGGGTATGTAGTATTTGATGGAGGAAGTATTTGATAGAGGATATGTACAATTTGTTGGAGGATGTGTGTTACTTAATAGAGGATACGTAAAGTTTGTTGGAGGATATATATTATTTGATAGAGGATAGGTACAATATGTTGGCTTACCTATTGCTTTTGTTTGCTGATTTCATCCTTTTGTTGGCTGATATGTTTTATTTGTTGGTTGATATGTTCAATCTGTTAGTTGATATTTATCTTTTGTTGACTGATATGTTCCTTTTGTTGGCTGATATGCTTCATTTGTTAGCTGATATGTTCCTTTTGTTGGCTGATATACATAATACTACATCCTGTTATAAGGGATATCATCAAACTTATAGATGATATTGTAGCTTATTATAAATGATATGATCTAGACAATAGAATTTATTTTATAAAAATAAGTAAAAGGTCAACAATGGCGGAACCGCCATTGAAGGTCCTGTACCTAAGCTCATGGGTATAACATAACATGCTCATTTCTCAACCAAAAATACATGCATTTGTTATCAAAACGCTCACAATTCAACATACAATCACATAGGACAATCAATTTCAACAATTATAAATCACACAAGAAAGCCTCAAATCGATTTTTTTGGGCATTTTTCGAAATATCCGAGAATCTCAAGCAATTATCAAGCCAATTCAAGCATAAATCATGGACAAATATAATCAACAATCAACGAGTTTCTCGCTGTCAACGATACCACCGCCAATAACAACGCCGCCGATGAGAGCGATAATTGGTATAAAGCAAAAACCCGCTAGACTGACAAAACATTTGGTCATGCTGGACTGACGCAATAGTTTGTGTTCTATTATATTTATCGATTTTATATAGCAATAAAATTAATCTCCAATTGGAATCACTCAGAAATGTTCAAAAGATATAGGCGTTTGAAGTTCGATCTTTGCAAATCAAGTGCACGTTTCTTCATTACTTGTTCTTTTATGTTTTATATTTCTTCAATCTTGAGCAATGAACTTATCCAAGTAAAAGAAGAAGATAAGGAAAATGCATAGTACTAAATGTCTCCTTTCTTAAAAGTAAGCCAACTTATTAGGAACGAAAATAAAAGAAATTCCTCCGTAACATATAATTCCCTACAAAAGTTCAACTTAGTTACTGTAAACTCTTATTTGTGATAGTGTGTGTAAAATAAAAGTTTTTTT